ACACACAAACAAACAAACACACACAAACAAACAAACACACACAAACAAACAAACACACAAACAAACAAACACACAAACAAACAAACACACACACAAACAAACACACACACAAACAAACACACACACAAACAAACACACACACACAAACAAACACACACACACAAACAAACATACACACACACACACACACACACGTACTGACAGGGTCGTTGCAATATGCGTTTTTGCTGCCTGTTGCTGCGCTCTAGCACTGCACGGCAAAAACGTATAAAAATGAGCCAATTTTGCAGCATTTAAGTGAAGACATCAACAATGCAACAATCTCACCAAACAATGGTGTACCGCGGTGAAGTGGGAAAGAATACCTTCTTTTGTTGCACCATTGAGGGATAAAGCGGTGGACCCAAGAAATGAGTTCTCGTGGAAGGAGATACTGTGAAAAATCTGGAGCGTGATATCAGGTAATAATTAAAACTCGGCTCAACTCGCCAAAATGCACTCCTTCGTGTTTGGGCGAGAGGTACGGGAGATGTAATTGTTCAGAAGCACTATACTTTTGTTTTGGTGATAACTTGAGGCGCAGAGAGGTAACGGATAAAACTCAGCTTGGCTCGGCTCAAACGCGCTTGTACACGTTTTTGAGGAAGATCCACTTGCACATGAAGGTGATGGAAAACTGCGAAAAATCATAGTGCTGAGCGACCTTCGGATTTCTTATTTAAAAGGACTTGCTGAGGAAGAAAACGGTCATGTGATGATTTGAGCAAACCGAGCTGCAACAACTCGAAGAGGGGGTTACTCCAAGTTGGACAGCCATCTACATCACAACATCAATGCTCACAGGGACTGCCTATCCCCTCAGGATCCTGTACCTGCGAGTACTTGTTCCTATCCTCAGTGATGTAATCCGAGAAGCAGAAACTGTCAGTGAACCAAGCACTGTACTCATGCAACAGTCAATCTCGGTAATCGATATTCAGCACGCCTCATTCCTTCATTCCATTGGGCATGTGGTCGCGAAGGGACCACTGCAAGTATTCTCCGCCCGATGGCAGACTCTGTGTTCGTTCATCTTCATCCGGCGGTGGTCAAGTTTCGCATCCGTATGTCACATAGTTCACTTCGAATTTTCGAAACGCCTCGGCAGTGATACATCTGACCATGGCCTGCGAGAGGCGCCACTTGCGGCGAAAAAATGATCTTTAACAACCATTCCCAGTGATATTTCAGAATATCTCATCTTGAGATCTTGCCAAGTGCTTCTGCCAGAAGAAATCAAAGCTCCGGCTGAAATCTGCCAAGTACTTTTGTTAGGAGACTGTACAGCTTCTGGAATTAGCGGGTTAACCACCAAGGGAGTAACACTGATATAGTCCATCGCCAGTTACACAGACCCGGTGCTGCTACTCATTCTTGCTCGGTTAGTACAAAGACAACGGTAAGAACGTTCACTGCTTATGAAGCAGTTCTGTGTTCCTGCGCACTCACGCCGAATATGTTCTTGTTAGTATTCTTATGCGTTTTGTGCTTTGCAATAGCTGCACAAAACGCATACTGTCACGGAGTTGTCTGTGTGTGTACGAGTGCATTTTGTCTGCAACTTTCAACTCGGAAATCACAAAAAAGCCGAAATTTTAGGAGAATATTCCTCGCTCATGCGTGAAACCGCAAACTTAATACCGCCTTCCCGTACGCCTGAGCGCCGCGTACGGTCCCGTAGAAGCTTTGGCGGGAGAAATTATTATCTCAGGAGCCATGAAAGTTTGGAAGATAAAATTTTAGGAGAACGTTCTCTACCTGCGTGTGACTCGCAAACTTTAGTTTCACCCTTCGCATACTACCAGGTACCACGTACAACCCCATAAAAGTTTTGATGGGGAAAATTGATACTTCGGAAGCCAGAAGAGCTGAGAGGCTGAAAATTTCAAGATGTTTTCTGACTATGCAGAAACCTCATGAGCTCGTAACTCCCAAGTATGCGGGAGGTCTAATCAGGGGCGGATCTAGGGCGATCTCTCCTGGATGGGAGAGGAAGGCAATTACCGGGTAGGAGGGAGCGAGGGGAAGGGAGGGGGAAGGGCAGGAAAGATGTGTGTCTTCTGCCGGCAATGAGCGCGGGAAGGGTAGGATAGTAGGTCTAGCGGTGGGACGATGATCAGGGGAGGAGGGAAGTGAGGCTCTTAAGGCGGCGCGGAAGAGAGTTTCCTACAGTTTTAGCACTGGTACCTGTGCCGCTGGTGGAGGGGAGGGGGAGAAGCGGAAGGGCCATCCTCTCCCTCTCCCGCCCCCTGCTCTCTGGATCCGCCTATGGATGCACAATCATGTGAAAGTTTTGGCACGAAAGTCACCTGGAAGCTAGAAAAGTAGGAGGTTGGAATTTTGGAAGGATGTTCACCATCTAAAGCACAGGTGGGCAACAGCGACCGGTTCTGATCCGGA